GCAGAGTGAAGAGATCTTTCAAACCATACCAGAATGAGCACAATTCAGTCAAGGACACCGGAGAAAGAGGCAAAAAACCATGTAACATTGACCTGAAAATCTCCATGAAAATCTTGTTCCATTGCCCACCTACCTTTCCTTCCACCTAATCCTAAGATCCTAAATGCTTTCCTAAAAACTATTCCCACCAAAATGAAGCCTACTAAATGCCCAGCAAGAGAAAAAAAAAAATGAGGTAAGAAAAGCGAAAAAAGAGGGGAGGAGAGAAAGCGAAAAGTAAAAGTCAAGACTGCCGTGTCACTTTTAAACCCAAAAACTCGAAATTTTGCTTTCTACGCATGCCCGAACTTCGCAAGCTGATATTTTGCATCTGGATCAGAAGGCCATGAAGTGTACGAACTGTAAACCGGTTTGTGGTAAGTTTTAGCTCTTTATAGCATGAAAGTGACCAGAAAACCACTCGACTGGCTTCAAAACGCGTTTTTCGGCAAAATCTCCAGGAGCGAATGGGTTAAGGGAGTTGTATCTCTATGTACAGAAACAGAATTAGATAAAGTTGCAGTGTAATAACATCATTCACGATAAGCTGTTAAACTTACATGAAGTTCACCTGAAAACAAGGGTCTCATGTGTAAATGCAAAGTTAAATCACACGAAAATAGATCCTACAAAAGATTAACCACAAATTTCACTTGGCTTCCAAAGTGAAAAATATACAACAAACAAATGCATACATTTTGGCTTGCAATGAAAAGAACAAGTCAAATGAGTATTAAGCTAGCTAAAAAGTATTCCCTTATTCATTTACACTATGTTCACACTATACTGGATAGGTCTTGGCACCAACACGAAAAGCCACATGTTCACACATAACAAAGGGTGATTTCGGCTCGATTTTTGTAATGGAACAATACTTCACAGCGCTAATCTTGAAAGTGGATCGTTGTATATCGGATACATTTCTGTCGCTCTTCAACGCAATGTGAACAGGTATCCGAACCGTAGCAGAAGTAAATGAGTAGGAGTGACGACCGGAAGCCTACTGAGACGGAAGTGAAGATGGTATTTAGTGCACCAAAATTCCAGTTCTGTGCAGTTTCCTTTCACACTCTACCAGATAACTTTTCATGTTGGCACAAAATGGTATCCTGTATATAGTGCAGACATAGCCTTAGGGCCTGTTTACATGGATGTAGACCCCAGATAGATAAGGTAACATTTGGCAGGTCACCCCACCTATCATGTAAACGTGATTAAATTAAAATGAGAGATTATATAGACAGGGGGTTACCCCACCTAAGCAGGTTACCTCATCTACCTGGGGTTCCCCACCTCCATGTAAACAGGCACTTTAATAAACAGCTGTTGAGATGGTGGCTAATGGTCCTTCGGACAAACCTCAAGTGTACCTGATAAAATAGGTTGTTTCCCTGACAAATTATCAGCTGGATATTGCAGAATTATCCAGTAGATAGTAGAAAGAGCTATGCACTTCTTGTCAATTGGACCTGTGAAGTGGGAGACAATTTGAAAAAGACTTTCTTGGCAATGTCTATGAATACAGCACCGAGAGACAAGAACGCAAAACGTTTGCGCTGGAATTCCTCTGATTAATTGGGCATTATACTGATGAATAGTCAGGACTGTTAGATATATCCAGCACCAGCAACTAGCCGTCTGTCCCTTCCACTCCTTTTCTTTTTAAGCCACACTTTTACTTTGTCTCCACATGTATTAATTACTCTAATTACCTCTACAAGTCTGCTTTTAATGCGACACCTGGCTACAATGTCATGATGCTTTTGAACCTTATTTTACTCTCCATAGAAAGTTACAGAGAGTTCAAATGTGGATAATGATCGGTATTTTAACCGAAGTTCGCTTAAGTCATATATACGACTTTTGCTTGAAGCGCAACGGTTGTTGACTTGCAATCTCACTGTTCTCAGGGAGGAGCAGTTCATCATTAAATAGTCACAAACACTTGGTAACCAGTCTTCACTTACTTCACTGCGGATGTTGACTGTTAGATTGAGATCAGTTAATGACGTGTTTTCTGGACAATCATAAGGTGTTGATAGAGATTGCCAGCTATTATGCTGTTCACCTTTACTGATGTCATTTACTGTCAGCATGAGTGTACTTAATGTCTTGTTTTTTGCTAAACATTCTTTCAGAGGGCCTACCCACGATACACAGCTGAAGTATTCGTAACCACTGACTGTAACAGTGAGGGACGCTATTGAATTGTTCACTGAGAGTCCTTTAATTAATATCTCTTCCCAGTCAAAATAACTAGAGGTGATGTGGTTAATCGTAATGACTAGTTCCTTTAAAGATGAGGTACTTGCCAGTCCAAAACGGAGACCTTCTACCCAAGTCACAGGCATTTCTTTTGAATCGTCAGAGGGGTGGTAATAGAATATTGCACTGTTATTTTTCTCCTTATAGTTGTTGCTTGTAAGGCTGAGTTTTGTTAGTGAAATGCTTTCTTCCAAACATTTTCTCAGAAATTCACCCCAAAAATAAGTTAACTCACTACCGTTGATTACGACGGAAAGTGTAGACAAGGACTTCACTGCCATCAAATCTTCTTCAAATTTCCCCACCTTGCCACGATCGTCAACTGAGAGACTAAGTGTAGTTAATGACTCCATTTTCGCCAAGCTGTTGATCAGCATGCATTCCCAGCCTTCTGCAATGTTACTGTAGTTGCTGATTGTGAGACTTAAAACTGTTAATGAAGAACTTCGCAGCAAACTATCCCCGAGGTCTTTCCATATTCCTGAATTCATTGTGTAGTTGCTCACAGTAAGATCCAGCGTGGTTAGTGATGTGGTACCTGCCAAAGCCTCACCTAGCAGACGTGGCCAGTCACTAATTACTTCATCATCGTTAATTATTCTAAGATTGATCCTCTCCTTTCTGGTATTCTTAACTTCAGAGAACATTGGTGTCAGTGATGCGGGATTGTTAATTGAGACATCAAGAGCATTGCACATTTCGTTAGGAACATCACTGACGCCATCCACTTTCACTTGAACGATTTCATTATTACGTGATAGTTCCTGAAGTAAAGTTCCTGTTGCTGGGACCAACTCTCCCCAAATATCGATTGTTAGGGAGGACAATGTATTTTGTCGTCCGATATATCTTTTAATAATACTAGCAACACCATCACTTAAATTTCCATGTACTTTCAAAGTCAGGCTTGTCAGGGGAACACGCACCAAGAACTCACATAAAGCTTCTGCTCCATCACATTTCAGCTCTCCCCAGATGACCACAGTTAAGTATTGTTTTGTTTCCAACCCTTTCTCTACCACAGCAGGACAAAAATGAGCCACTTGATCACATGTAAGACTGCTGCCTGGGTCTGGATGAAAAGTACAGCTAACTGACCCCTTCTTTACTGAACGAAGATTTTCCACAACAGACTGCCAGTTGTCAGGAATCTCTCCACAGAGAGTCAGTACTAAATCACTTAAAGAACTATTTTCTAGAAGACTGTTTTGAAGAGCAGTCACACTAGAGAGACTAACGTTGCCGTCAACACTGAACGCCAATGCCTTGAGTGCAGTTTGTTGTGCAATTCCTCTGCTAATAACAGAAGCTACAAATTCTAGCACATCTCCAGAGATATTAAGGGAAAATGAGGCCAAAGTTTTATTTGATAAGAGCTTTCCTAAACCATAGACCGCAGTATCACTCAATGATCCTCGAACCTGGAGGTCTACAGACTTCAAAGGAGTGTTCGCAGACAAAGCAGGTTCAATAGCACTCATCCAATTCTCACCCCTCACTCTGTCAAGTTGAAGTGTTACTTTGCTCAAGGCTTTGCGTGCTCCTAACGATTCACCGATAGCAACTGCTGCGTCATAAGGGATACTGTCACTCACTTGTAGAGTAAGAGTCTGAAGCTGCGAGCAGGATTGTATGGATTTTGCAACAGTCTCATAGCTGAAAATGTCTTCATTTGAATCACAAACAGTAAGCTGAACTGGCTTCTGCACATTTGCAAAGGTTTTGCAGGCCTCTAAAACGTGATGTATAAGGGCATTCCCGGCACTGCCAAGCTCGATCTTAACATGTGGAGGAAAGGGTATGTAGGAACAAAGTGTCTCTGCCATTTTTTCAGCGTGTCCACTTTCGCTGAAGCTATCCATAAAGAAACTTGCTGCTTCCAAGCCTTTAAAATAGTAAAAGTTATACGAGACATCTTGCCTCTCTCGGTCATCCATCTTCCCTACCCGAGACTGTGTGCAGGTGACCCAGTCCCATTCTCCCCGGTTCTTCAGCTCTTCACCAATCTGAGTGAATAGAATGTTTGCATCTCTCCCAAGTATACCAGAAACAAAAAGAAACACTTCTCGATACTTTTTCACTAGTTTATGAAAAGTTAGACGTTCAAACAACCTTAACTGGTTTCCTCGCAACTTGTGAGCAATAAAGACTGCAGCCAGGTACTCTTGGAAGGTCTTGTGTAGAAAAAAGTACTCATGTTGCGGATTTAACCTTTTCAGGCTTTCTTCCTTGTAAACTAGGCCAATGTCACGAGCTACCAGTCCGTTGTATCTGATTTCAAGGGCTGCTAATTCACTTGCACGAAACCCGTGACGGTCTTTAAGTAGACAAAGCCAAGCTAGCTCTCCAAGGGCAAGAATGTTCTCTTCAAATTGCTTCTCTAAGGCGCTGTTTTCTTCCGGGGCCACAAGGCTGTGTTTCGCACAATAACGTCTCAAAAGGCACTGGACAACTACTTGGTAAAGTTCAGTTCGGGCAGTTGGTAGTTTTCCTTTGTAGTCTTCATAAACAACACAGAGGAGGATTAAACTTAGCGGGTTATTTCGGAGTGCATTCAATAAATCGTTTTCTTCAATTTCCACTATCAGACTTTCTCCTTTTGAAATATGCTCCGGGCCGATGTTTTGGAAATGCTTCCTGATATATTGAAAGGCATCTTCGTCTGTAAATCCTTTGATCTCTAGAAGGAGATCAAATTCGTACTTTTTACGAACTTCAATGCCTGTTTCCTGCCGGGATGTAGCCAGGACATAACAAAATGGTAAAATTTTTCTGTCAAGGAGTTTATGAACACATGGTCGTGACTTTTCAGGAAGCTCATCCAGACCATCCAGAATAATTAAAACTCTCTCTTGGTTATCAATATCCCTGATGAAGTCAGACAGCCTTGTCCAGGTCTCCTCCTTGATATCTTCCGGCAAAAGCTGTTCTTTGATAGTTTCCATTAGATCTCCGTTTATGTCTCGACATTTAAGGAGCAGTACAAACTCGAATTTAGGAAAGGAACAATTAGTTGGCATTTCTCCACGTGCCCAATCATAAGCAAGTTTGAGGCAAAACGTAGTTTTACCGGTTCCTGGACTTCCCTCTGCTAGCGTCATTTTGACATCCTCGCTTTCGCCAAGGGCCTGGAAGACGTCGTACATGCCCAACTCATCATTTTTAACCTGGAAGTCTGCTTTTCTTCTTGAGACAATTTTCAGTCTCGTGTAGACGTTTTTAAGTGGTAATTGCATAGTGTTTAACCAAGAAAGTGGCTTCAACTTTGCCCGTCTCTCATATTCAGCTCTGAGCATTTTCAGAACACCTGAGTTTTCTGTATCTGTAGGGAGCAAAAAGCCCGAACAATCAGTTAATGTTTTCCTGACATTCACTGTACTTCAAATGGACAAGAGATTAATACTATATGTTATGATCTCTTGATCACGTCTAACATGATAAGACAGAAAATTGGAAAAAGAAGGAAGCGTAAAAAAAAACGTTTTCAGGAGTTGATTGTGCAAATTACCAAACATTTCAATTAGTAGGTTGAGCACTACCGTCCGGGTGAACGAAGAATACGTTGGAAACAATTGTTTCATAAAAGTATACATTTAAAAACGTTTTGCTCTTGCGAGTATATTGCTCATGTTTCTAAGATTAAACATACCTTTATGAAGAGGTTTATTGACAAGTATAGGTTTCTGGTAAACTGAAGAAACCGCAGTGGTTTTTACAGATAAATCCTGCTCATCCTTACTGCCACCTAAAAAAAGGATTGACGTGAACTCTTAAATTAAGCATAAACAAAGTTCATAAACCTCTGGAGGCCAGCTGGACAATATAGCTTATAAGAGTTGCTTACTACATTTTACTAATGCTGATAACGAAGAAAGTCCAGGATATTATCCTGTGTAACCGCTGGTATCCTGACCAGCGGGCTTACCCCCTTGTTTATTAGGAGCATGCGCACGGGGCCTCGGCATTGGCGGACACGAGGCCACCGTGAAATA